ATGTCTGCGCAGTGGTATGCGAACGAGGATGCAGCTGAGTGGACAGAGCTCGGATGAATTTGCAATTGTCACTGGTGTGAAGTAAGGCTGTGTCTTAGCTCCTGCCCTGTTTAATATCTATCTTCATGCAATGTTGTCTTGTGCTTTTGATGCGACTTGTGCTTACGGTGTTCGTGTGGAGCATCTTATAGATGGTGGGTTGCTGAACATCCGTCGTTTCGGTGCGAGAACTCTAGTCTGTGAGACAACTAACCGTATGTTGCTGTTTGCTGACGACTGTGTTAATTGCACACAGCGAGGATGAGTGGCAGCGTACGAGTCTGGCTCTCGCTTCGACAGCGGTTAATTTCGGGATCACCATCAACACAAGCAAGACTGTTTGTCTCTTCCAATCTTCACCAGGAATGGAGTCCGTATGTTTGCCTTAAATTCACATCGGTGACGTTTTGGAAACAACCTCCCGATTTTCCTATCGTGAGAATTTAATATTTCCCGAATTGCATATGTCGAGCGAACTGTGCATGCGCGTATCGAAGACGGCTGCCGCAGTTGGAAAGTCGGGTTGGAACAATCATTAGCTGACCATTGGAACGAAGCTGATGGTATACATGCAGACGGTTCTGTCCTTTCTATACGGCAGTGAAAACCGGACGCTTTAACGAAAAGACGTTCGTTATCTGGTGCGCTTGCACCAATAGTGCCTGCGCCGGATTATGCGCACCAGCTGGGGTGACCGAGTAGCTGACACGCAAGTGCTGCGCCGCAGTGGCATGAATGCATTGGACTGTATACTTCTGCGGCGACACCTGACGCGCATCGGCTGCATTATATCGATGAGGATAAACAAGCAGCTTTTGTACGGCCAACTTAGTGCAGGGAGGCCGCACGAGGGGAAACCGAAGTTATGTAACCAGGACATGATCGAGGTGAATGCATCACGAACTAAAGCTCATTCCAAGTATTGGGAATCAGAGGTAGTTGATGGGCGCAGATAGCGTGACCTTACCAAGAGGGCGGTTGCACAAGCGCAGGAGAAAGCCCTATTGCACGCAGAAGAGAAACGCCGGTTACAGGAGAGACAGAGATCGATAAAGTCTGGCCGATCGACGTCAAAGAAATAAATAAATTTTTATTCTCGGAAGAACGAGGCACACCATGATATGTAATGATCAGAAAGTGCACGGATGTACAGTCAATACCAACAATGATTGCAGCGATTTAAGAAAACAGTACAGCGAACTATACGTGTGCGTTTTCAGGTACGGAGCGTAATAAAGGGCCGGAACAAGGGCGTAAATTACATGGTGGACGCAACAGGACCAAACAGGGAAAGTCGGCGTTTTATGAAAATAGAATCGTAAAGTGCAATTATCAGCATAAGGATTATGTTGTAAGGGCATGTAAGCAGAATTTCCAAAGGAAGTATTATTGGCGTCCAGGCGATAAGTATAACAAGCACCAAGGTTGTTGAAAGTTTTTGGACGTCTGAAACTGTAGGGCATCGCCGAGTGTAGAGGAAACACCACATGGTGATATAGGAAATGCGGTGTGTATCTCAGCCAAACCGGTCTGGTAATCTACCAACTTATCCCCAAGTTGCGAATATCTAAGAGGCGACGAACAACTTGAACAGGTGGTTTGTCTCGTCTGCATGAATCCACAATTAGACTGAACGGAATGTTTCTGTTCTGCTTGTTGAAGGAGTGTGGGCCGGCTAAGTTGATGGGATATGGCTCCCATCCATATACCTCCCGGTCTTATTCCTTCGGGCTTACACTGGAGAAGCGGTGTGTGGATGAAGTAGTGGGTGGTGTAGCACAAGCCCCCATGGTCTCTCTGCAGATACAGGCGTCCGGTGGCTGTCCCCGTAGAGACCGGCAAATCCGGAACCGGATGACGCCAACCATGTGACCACCTTTCACCCTAAAAGTTCACAACGAGTCGCCAAGAACAATACAGACCCATAAACTACCTGGAGAAAAATTGCCAATCATGCCATTAGCTTTAAATAAAGCAGCACGAACAAGGTAACTCTATTACAAAAACACCAGAAACGAACACCTAAACAATGAGCAACATATTTGGACACATATGGGACAGAACAACGCTGAAAACTTCGGATACGGTCCCAGTGATAGGAACGGCAAACGTTGACTTCAAAGTCAATCGAGGCCACCATCGCGATTGTGTGTCGTAATCCAAGAAACACGGCAAGCGCTCCAAAACCCGACAATAAACTTCCAGCAATTCTCGCGGAGCACAATGCCCTAGTGATCATGACGTTAGTCGCCAACCACTGTGTGGCGAGTTCCACTCCCACCTCAGGCTGTTTATACCTTATAGGAGTCTAAACAAGGTCGAAACGTGACGTGGAGTGCAGTGATGAGATGGCAACATCGAAACCCTTCCGAAAAAGTACTCCGGAAATGGAAGATGAGAAACGCATATCGGGAATTGCACTACTAACGTTTTCGTACTGACGCATCACCACCATACAACCTAAATCACTGCTAATGAGGATGAAGAGAAGAGAGCAGCGGCATAGCGTAAAAACAAAGGTGAATATTCAAGACCAGAGCGCTTAGACCAGGAAGCAAATACGGCCATGAATGGTTGGCCATAGCGCGAAAAGAGGGCGGCAGCCGGAAAACAACTTCATTGCGGCTCTCGCTGTCTCGTGATGTAAACAGACATCACGTAAATAACTCAGTATCATACATGTGACAAACGAGCAATTCGATCTCGAGATGTCTGTAAACACGCTACCACTATCAGTTGCGTCGTATCATTGCACTGTGTGGATCCAAGCTTAGAGTGGGTCACGTGGACGCCAGTTCAACATCTAGAGAGGACAAAAGACAGTCAGTTCAGTAGACAGTGACCTAACATGCAGTTAACAGAGGTGAATAATCGATTCATCCTCAGACATACCGACTTGTCCGCTGGGAAGAGCAGTTCAGCAGGCCAATTGTCACTGCATTGTTTGTCGAAGTGCCTGAAACGGCGTGGGACATGAACTTGCTCCGTCGAAACGAAACAGACCCGATGGTGTTCCCCCAGTTTTTCTGGATGATGAAACGGACCCAGTAGCAACTGGCATATCTGCTCTATTCAGCACTCTTGGGGACACCGAAAGCGTGCCTCCGGGTTAGCGGTTATCAACCACCGTTCAAATCTCAAAAAAAAGTCACAAGCCTGTGCGTGAAAATCACAAAGGCTTTAAGCCAATACCCATTCCCGTAAAACGTCTGACATGCATCAATATGCGATGACCCAGTGTTCCGCATGAGGTCAGAGGTTGCATAGATCCCATAGTTGCTTTCCCTAAGTGTTTGAGCCAAACCACGCGTACAGAGGAGTCATCGTAGTGATTTTAATTGACTTGTAAACCCAGTTGCGGTACTGCCGATAGCTAAATGGTGTGGTAGGAAAATTGCTGTGTATTCTAAAGCCTCTACACTGCAAATCATGCGGACGTGTAGAGTGGCCTAGGTGAAACTTTCTCCTGAGTTCCGCATGATGAGCGTTGGCCTATAGCTCCTTTATTCTTCAACTTTGTGATCATAATCATTAGGAATGACTCCGCTCTCTCAGCCTCTTTCGTAGTGAAAATCCTGCCATGTGAATAGCTGACAAACCATAAGTAGGTGGACGACATAGTTCTCCTAGGTCGGAAACAGTGGCTATGCGAGCACAAGTGAATAGGCTGAAGCATGCATGTTCCGTCATGTGATTTTGCCTTCAAAACCCAGAGCATTGTTGCGGGACTGAACTAGTAGGCCATCGGATTCAGCTATCAGAGAACAGCCACTGGGAATAATTGGTCGGTTTATTTGCATCCGTAGTCGTGTTACTTTTGGTGATCACATTGCCGAAGAGGTTACCTCGAGAGTCAATAAGTCCGTGTAGGCTTATTAGGGGCTCAAGCATCTATAAAGGCGGAATATCATCACGCAAATGAAACGTATGGCGGAGAGTTTCGGTGGATAACGCTGAGATAATACTGATGCTACTCTATGGATTAGAGACCTGGCCAATTCACACTGAAGCCATAAAACGATTGATCACTTCTGCTCACCGGTGTTTGCGAAGTATTGCGCACATGTGGTCTGAAGGTCGAATGAACAACGTTCAGATCCACCTGTTAGTTTTTGGCTAGAAATCTACTGGTGTCTTGCTAAGGCTTAACCGCTACAATACTTAGGTTATGTCATCTATTAGCCCGTTGAGCGCCTCCCTCGGCGCGCATTACGTGCTGCCGCTACGACAAGTTGGGCGAAAGCGCTAGGTAGCCAGTCGATGGAGAGGTGTAAATAAATGAAGAAATTGACCGAATAACCTGATCAGACTGGTTCATACCATCTTCGTGGATGTGAGCCTCGTAAAACGACACATAAGCGGTTGGGAACTCTATCTGACGGCACAATCACGCAGTCAGTAACGTACGTACACGCATTCCGTTTCTTGGATTGAACCGTTAATATTCTATGCCGATGAAGTTCATCCAGTTTGCTCATAACCCCGTTTATTTGTTTTCTGTGTACCGAACATCATATTCTCACAGTTATTAGTTAGTTTTATCCTGGCGACATGAGCTGTAGCAACTGGATTCACCGCACCTCTGTGCCCGGAACAAAATTGTTCCAACGACTTGAACAGAATGTAATATGAAAGACGCAATCCTTTGCATTAGTATGGGTAGTCTTGCTAAATGCTCAAAAAATTAGGTTACAGTGATTAGCGTACACGGATCAAGTTGTATACTTATATTGGTGGACCAAAAATGTGACCGAGCCAGACAACTCAGAATGCCTAGGACAAACCTGAGACGCAAGTAGAAAAACCAACATATAAAAGTCCGAAAAGTGAATAGGCGAACTGGATAGATTAAGCCATATAGGTCTTATTTTTAAAGAGCACTTGTATATACAGCAGAAAGATGCATACAAGGCAGTAAAGGAACGGATAAGAGCACAGAGGTACAACGCGTCAAAGACATATCAACTTATGTTGATGGAAGTACGGGATTCAGATCGATCTGTATGAGGAGCGGAAAAAGAGGTTCCGGAAGAGGCAACACTGTTCATCGCCTCAACACGAACTAGAGTGGACTCTCTTGGAGCTCCAGAAGATTGAGAAATTTGCCATCGGTTGCCCAAAGAATCCACCAGGACAGGACTGGCAGAGATTCGGTAAATTTTATCTAGTATGCGTTGTGGTTGTGGAGATGGATCCACTTTCGATTGTGAATGACCAGGAAACTGAATGCAAAACTCGCAATGGAAATAGTCACTTTGAAGAGAGGCAGAACGACGCAGAGAGAAGACAGTTTGCTTCACATTCCTTCGATTCTGACGACCCAATCGACCATAGTCTGGACCGGCTTCGGTGACCGTGAGTTCCACTTCTACTGCGTGGATGCGACGGCACAACCGATTGTTAGGCAACCGGCTGCGTTGTTGAACGACGCCCATAACTTGAACCATATGGCCCACATCGACGCTGATAGTCAAGACGTCATCCGGATTACTTCCGGCTTTGGGAAGCAGCACCAATCGGACGGTAGTTGACTGGAGGCGCTGGAAGAAAAAGCGGGGCCAATGAGAAGGGAGCTGACAGACATTCAGAAGGATGCCTGAAAGCCAGTTAAAGTTCGGAGGGCTGGTTGGATCAAAGTTGATGTGCGGCTCTGCTAGGGCGTGTAGCTGAGGTATCACATCGTGGAACGGATCACCGCTTGAAGAACCCAGATGTCTGGGCAATGGAGTGTCATTTTGACGCGCGCTGTGGAAAAAAAGAATATGCAGCATGGAAGAGGAGCTGATTGGAGTGCAACTACAGATCAATGCGATCAAGAGGTACGATCGGCCGTAGTTCAACGTGACGCAAGAAACGTTAGGATGCAGTAAGACTGTGGTTGGTTCACAAGCGAATACTGCATATGACTTCGGGAAAAGAAGCGGGGAGGTAGTCCGAAGCGTGGGACTAAAGGCGGTGAAGGAAGAATAACGGTGCTATTCGGCGAATACAAGACTCTGAGGCAGTGTATACAAGTTTGCGACGCAAACTCGGCTTTTGTGCCAAACAACATCCAAAACATTGGCAAGAGAGTGAAACTAATTTCCGACGTCGAGAGTAACTTATCGAAATTGAGGCACACGTCGGGGTCCCTGGATTACTCCATTTTCTATGTTTGACTTTCCCTGAGATCTTTATGGAAGCACAGCTGGATAATATAGCTGACCAAAAAGCAACCTACTTCACTTTCCAAAGATGCTCAGGCCCCTCTATTGAGACCTCGGTTCACTTTGAGGTAAACCTCGGTCATTCAGATCTCGAGGACCGTATCCGGAATGGAAATATTTGGGTGTTGTTCTTCCCAACACTGGCACACCCCGACCGCGGTTTCGTCCTGGTTTGGAATCGTCAGGTGGAGATAGCCTGAGCTGGGATAGAACTCAGCGCTTAGTAGTTCACGGCTGGACACCCTGAACACTATGCTACTGAGATCCGCGAACAATGCTTGGCACAGCGGAAAGTAATTCAAAACTGAATTTAGGGAGCACGCTCTGTGGTTGGGTTGCGACTCGCAACCTCTATCGAGACCTCAGTTCATTTTGAGGTACACCTAGGTCATTCCGATTTTGAGGACCGTATCCTCCCTAAATGCAGCTTTGAATTACTTCCCGCTGGGTCAAGAATTGCTCGCGGATCTTAGCAGCATAGTGTTCAGGGTGTCAACCGTGAACTACTAGGCTCTGAGTTCTATCCCAGCTCAGGTTATCTCCACCTGATGAGTCCAAACCAGGACGAAACCGCGGTCGGGGTGTGCCAGTGTTGGAAAGAGCAACACCCAAAATATTTCTACAGTTCACAGCACTTTCCTAATCAGTACTTCTAGAGGAGAATAATAGCGACTGCGATCCAGTGACTGATTTCTGGATTAGTTGTTTTGATGTAGAGTGTACCGGCTAATTCACACATCACCTTGGTCTCCGACTGTAAGAATTTTCTTTCTGCTAGGTAAATTAGCGCCATTTTCCTTTAGTCCTCTTGGATTGCTACACAATTCGCTGTTACTCAGACTGAAGGATCGCCGACGGCTAAGGAAAACAAGAACACATCGGTAGGCTGGGTAAATGCAGTTTGCTTAGCTCATTCCTTCTACACTGCTTCTAACTCCGCACTCATTAGGCTTGCGGGTGCAGAGATGGCTTCTAAAAGATATGAGCACATCGGTTGATTAGATAAATAAGCCTCATCTCCGCCCCCCCTGTATTGCTACAACTCCCGTACACAGTCAAAGACGTACTATACCATTTGATAGGCATGTTAACGCATTGTACCAAGCTTTTAGCGTGACACATTTTCGAAATCATGTGCAGTGCTTTCAAGTTAGCGCGGCTAAGAACGCTGTTTTGGCGTCGTTGACACTCTCATCGGTCATAGGACGTTAGCCATAGGGACACCGGTTGGAAGACCCGAACATAAGCGACAGAAAATCCAATCAAAGTTGTCGAGTACCACCTTCTGTGCTGTCCTGATGCCCATCTGAAGTAAACTTCGATGATTGGTCTCCAAACTGAAACCGTCCAATAAACAACTTGTGATGCCTAAGGAGGAGATCCTAGCTACCACATGATCCGAAGCTTAGGCCGTAGCTAATGCGGACAGACACACTAACCAGCACATGAAACGGTCTATACTTAATGATCGCTAGCGGCTACCTGGTGGTAGCTTATTCAGCGGCCTAAGCAAGGTGGCGTAGACAGGCAATTTTCCAACTGGTATTCCGCAGTCCCTGAGATCTGAGGGAGTGACGCAGGCCTGCATTTGCGGTTGGTCAGGCATGCACCGTAGCTTGGACACTGCATACCCAAACCTGAGTCAGCAATGGCTGCTAGGCGGTTTGACAATTTTGTGCGAGTGTTATTGCGACGATCATGGGGGACATTGTTCCCATTGAAGTTGGTGAACCAACCTGAAGCCGAACAACGAAAGTTCTATATTTGCTTACTTCTATCACAGTTGATGACTAAACACAAACTAAGAGGATTCCAAGTGTGGCGTTGACACGACGTTAGTGAGGGTTCGTTTGTCCACACCCATGGGTGACTTTGTTAATCTGTTATCGCTTCAGTGTCTCCATGTATGGCGTTATTTAAAGGTCATAGAAACCTACGTATTCATAGGATACTTAGGCTTTACTTCCATATGGTCGCTCATACGTGTTGAGACGCTTTGACAAGTGGCTCTCCGAATGGCACCATTAGAAGCACAGTCAATGCAGATGAAACCTCCCTGTTACGTCCATGGACTGGAATGCTATCCTCATGAAATCGGCATTACTCAACAAAGAAACACTTAAAGGGGCTACAATGACTACCGTATGTATATCTGCCACATCGTCCTGCTAGATAAAACGCAAAGGCCGATAATTAGTGGCGACGCACGCATTTTACTCTGGTAATTCAGGTGAATACTTGGAACAGACAAACCCTGTTGTCTCACCCACGGGCGTTCCTACAGCATGTTTGCAATTATTTACAAAGGCAACCGCACCCACTAATCCTGCTATGGGCCACTGTTTCAGCCGGTCTTAGAAGCAGTCATGTGTGCACGCCGTGACATCTTCTGTAATGCGTCGCTTTCTCCACTCTGCGTTCTATTGCTAAGCTGAGCTGCTCTGTTAACCGTTGTCCCATCACTCTCAGACAACTAGTTCGTTGCTCGTTGATGCATCGCTCATATTTCCTGTTATGGTTGTGGGCATCTGTGATCATGATCCGGACCATAGTATCGCTCGATGTGACCGCACTCTTTACGTCTGTCAATTTACAGACCGCAAAGCAACCAATCATCGAACGGCTGGACCAAAGTGAGAAAACAATCGGAAAGCTGACGACTGAAAACCTGTGCAAGCTATTTGACCTATGCCTTGCGACCTACTTCGCTTTTGATGGACAGATCTATGCGCAGATGAAAGGAGCCCCGATGGGATTCCCTGTGTCAGGACTCGTTGCAGAAATAGTCATGCAGAAAATTGAAGAGGATGTATTGCCCATAATCAACCCAAAATTGTGGATCTGATACGTTGATGAAACATTCGTGATACTGAAACGTAGTCAAGTAGAGGCTGCATACCCGTTGATCAATGACGCCAGTGACAACATTCCTTTTAAGATGGAATCGGAGATAGAAGACCAGCTTCCAGTTTTGGATGTATTAGGACGATTGACGGAGAGTTGCAAACATCGGCTGACAGGAAAGGAACACACACCGATCAGGTACTAAACTACTACAGCAATTACCCGAAATGTCACAAACTAAGCTGCGTGCGGACTCTCTTTCGTAGAATTGAAACACACTGCAGCACTCTTGAGGCGAAGCGGAAGGAAGATATGTCTGTTTAGATCATTTCAGCTAAATGGATATCCATATAGCCTTGTCCGGCGATGTCTAAACAACAAAACTACGACCTCTCAGCCTGCTCAAACGACAGCAAAGAGAATCATCCTACCCTATGTAAAGAACATCTCCGAGATGACAGCAAGATTATTCGAACAGTACGGTCTTACAGTGGCTCACAAACCAAATGCCCCATTGACGAGAACCCTGTCGAAACCCAAAGTTAGACCTGGAACCCATGAAATACGAAATGTTGTTTACAAGAAACGATGTCATGACTGCGGTAAAAACTATGCGGGTCAGAGGGGAAGACGAACCACTACGCTCTCTCACTGGTTTCAATACATACGGACGAAGAAGGACATCGCTTCGATTGGAACAACACAGAGGTCCTAGTACAAGGAGAGATACGAAAAAAAAGAGAGTTCCTCGAAGCTTGGTACTCGACGCAGCATTCGATAAACATGCACATAGAGATTGATCCAGTGTACCAAACATTAAGACGGAGAGAACTGAAACACCTTAAAAACCGTCGTGCGCAGCTAAACGAGTCATCAACAACACATCCGCAACAGCCGTAGCAAAACCATCCCACGGATCGCCGGTGTCTATCAGAGTTTGGCAGGCACGGGGTACAGATCGAGGAGGTCAGTTCAAAAGTCACTTGATGATTGATCACAAATCGACGAAAAAGTCAGCGGATTACATTTGACCCGCCAGCGCACTGAGGAAGTCACCTCGTTTGGTGATGAAACGTTTGCATCCCAATTACGAAGCTTGAAGAACAATTGAACTCAGGAACCATCAACCCGAGCTACCAGAGTATCAAGGCATTTAGAACAAGTATGTTAGGATGGCTTTGCAATGAGCTCGCAACTTCTGTCAGCGATCGTGAATGACTGCACAATAGTATGGAAAGCCAAGGAGACTGACTAATCGAGGACCAAAAGTTCACACGTCAGTAACACCAAACGATACGATAACTAAACGGGAAAGATCTAGAATCCTTCATATTAGAAGACTGAGAGCACAACGACGCGAGAAGGACACGATGCCTTGTCGTTCCCTGATTCGTTTGTAAGCCGTATGAAGGGCAACATGGTACGAAGATGAGGTAGTGTCAACAGTACGCCGGTAGGAAGTACCGACGCTCCGCTGCCGCGCAACAAACAGTAGTCGCACGTGAGCGAAGGATACTGCGAGGGTCGTTTGGTGTCCAGACAGGCTTGCACCTGCACCGTTGGATCAAAGGGTAGGTTTGTGATCCCTAAGGCTAAGGGGGCGGCAGTACGAAGATAGGTTCAACATATATTCAAGTGGTTTGGCGCATGTGTTTGGGGAACCTCTATTCAGTTGATGAGAAACATAATTAAGAGACGGAGGAAACGGATAGCAATCGAAACTACCCGTTAACAAGAAAAAATCCGGGCGTGGGATCCACCGTAACTTTGGAAGCGTCGGTTAAAAGAAAAGCGGAAGTGTAACAAATAAAAGGTGCCCAAAGCAGGAACTGTACAAGTGTCCAGCGGCGATACATCACCACTGCGGCAGTGCACAGAGTACACGGAGTTACCAAAACGAGTCAGCAGCCCCGATTCAGGAAAGACTATTGATAGAGATCAAGAATGAACATGAATAAGAAGATGGGTAAAGGGGGTGTCCCATGACTCGTGTATAAAGCTTCCTTACAGTTTGTCCGATGTAAGTTTTGTCACATTCGCGGTATTTTATTTAGCCGAACACAAGGCATTATCCATATTCGTTAGCTTCCAGAGTTGAAGATCAAGAAAGCCACCGGTTCTACCTAGCAAATGTGAAGATTCTGGCGCGTGAGAGTACAAACATGCGAAGGAATTTCGGGAAGCATGGCACTCCACAACTAATTCGATCAACTGAAACATTGAACTGGAAGCATCATACGCAACTCTATCGTCGAGGGATCGCCAACTCGATCGATTAAACCTGGTGGAACAGAACACCAGAGAAACGGGACAGGCAACAGACTTGAGCACAAGTGTAAACAGATAGTCACAATGCACGAGTCGGAGAAGTCAAGTTTAAAGGTGACCTATCTGCTCAACAAGCAGAACACAAACAGATGCTTCAACCAATTGGATTGCTCGTCTACGCGACCAAACCATGCAACATAGAAAATGCCCTCATAGTATACCCGATTCACTGTCCTCGATGCTCCTCTACACTAGACTAAGTAACAACGCAATGATGCCACCTTAATTGGTAGCGAAACGTATGCAACAAAATTGTCATGCTCAGTGAACAGCTCGACCGGCACCTGAGCCACCATTTTTCGCTTATATTTCATAAACATAAGTATTATTACTGGGCGCTGATTCAACTTCGGCCTAGTAGCAAAGCTGGCGCGGTGAAATGTCATCACTGAAAACACTGCCTTATCTTGGGCATTTTGGGCCAACTAAGTATGTATCTCTTTTACGTATCTGACCAGTGGTCGGTGCTCCTAGCAACTATCGGACCATGCAAGTGAAGCAGCGACATAAGTGGAGTGAATGAGGAATGGGAATAACAAGGATTGAGAACGTACTTTGCAGACTCGTAAGTACTTTTGAAAGATTGGAGAACACAAAAGAAGAATTTCACCAAGCGAGAAAAGCTAGCACGGAGTTGAGGAAAATGCTCGCGTAAACAAGGAGCGTTTCGACAATTATTAAGATATTCAATATCCTGCAAAAATATCCCGGATGCATAGCTCAAGGAAACAAGTATGGGTGCATTCAACCAGCGATTTGAGAAAACAAAAAGTGAAGATTATAAAGGAGCAGTGCGTATCGTCTGGACCAATTACATGCACTCGAGCAGAGTATGCACGAGAAAGGAGTGTGAGAAAAGAAAGCCATTGCAATGAAGCTGGACTTTACCGTGGTGCGACGGTTTGTGTGCTGCAGAGATCCACTGAGCTATGCTGGATGGTGTTTTTGGCACCTTCAGAGCCACTCATACCAGATTGGTCAATGGTTAGAGGCCAGACAAACTCAGCCTCCTGGTCCTCCAGGTTGGAGGTTCGAATGAGGGTGGCTCCTAATTCTATAAAACGGAATCTTTGTAGCCCAACACCAAACCCGCTGCCTTTCAGTCAGGTCTTGAACCAAAGGCTTTGGTTGAGAACCCTAATCGTTCTGCTGTCTAGGCGGGGGCAACCTGACAGTATCCTGCCCACGCAATACTATGCATCTTATGGAGAAAATTTTCCTGATGCTCTAGCCACCGCAGAGAATAATTAAAGATGCCCTATATGATGCATCGAGAAGGGTGGATAGGGGTTTGGATGCTACTGCTCAAGCCTTCCCGTCTTTTTATTCCCCCTCTTAGGCTTTTTCACCCTTATCGTTCCGTTTCCACTTCACTTTTAGCCCCCCAGATTTCAACCACCTATTCTTGGCCCTCCCCCACCTTGCTTTGATAGGCTTTTATCCGCTAATTTCAACTCATGTGAACGCGGAGCGTCATTCCTGCCGTCGACAAGCCCATGTACAACCAAGCGGCCAAACCCAGTTCATCAACTTCCATTTGGAGCCCTCGATCCCGCTTCAGATTGGCATGCCTCAGTGTTCGCACATTGCTTCAGGTCGGCCAACAGGCAGCACTTGCCCGAACATTAGAGACCCTCGATCGATATCTGCTGCTTATCGGAAAACCGCCTGTAAGACTCGAGCTCTGTGCCCACTTTGCGATCCCCTTCAGGTGACACCAGCAGCAATTTCTCATTGCGCCTATCCGGTGACGATGCAGCTTCGAGCACCGGCCAAGCCGGTGTTGGTATTGCCCTGAGTCTCCAGGCTGAAGCTGCACTGGTTGTTTGGATCCCAATCAGTAGCCGGATGTGTGTGATCCGATTGGCTGGTTCATTCAAAGCTTCGAAGCCGCACGGGACTAATAGGTGTCTACTCATCATCGCTGCCTACGCGCCCACAAACTGTAGCCATGATTCGGTAAAGAACGACTTCTACCGCCAACTGACCCAGCTCCTTCGCCACAGAAGCAACACGGACACTGTACTGCTGGCTGGGGATCAGAACGCCCAAGTTGGAAAATTATCCACTGATGAACTGCACCTGGGTGGCCAACATGGTGTAGGCTCCCGTAATGATAGCGGTGAGCGGTTACTTCATTTGTGTGAAGATGCTCCCTTATTTCTTGCGAGCACTAATTTCCGACACATTCAAGTGCACAAAATATCCTGCTGCCGAGGAAATGTGTACGTTTTCCCAATGGTGATGATCACTCAGAGAACCAAATAATCTTCAGTTGTATGCAGATGATGACCGAACAGTACATACAAATTGTCAGGAAGGCGACAGGCAGGGTACTGCAGAGGTCGATGTACACCAGCATTGCTCATACGTCTTTCGGTGACCGTGATTTCACGCGACAGGAGTGTACATCGAAAAAGGTTTTGGCGAAGGGTTACACAGCCTAATGCGGCATTTCGTGATGTGGTCGCTGGTGAGGCATAATTTTAGACTCCATAATGAAGCGGCCAATGGTGCGTGACTGTCAGCTTGTCTGGAAAGCGAAACTAGCGAGATGCATCTACACCCACTCAGCCACGGAAGCAGCGGCGAGATCTCGAACCGAAACCATGAAACTCAGTTCGCAATGCCCAAGCCTTATAGGGGGAAACCAAGCGCTTAGACTAATGTGGAGAGAGATGAGGGGAAGTATCATGCAGGCGAGCGGTCCACCCCTTTAGGTGGATTGAGTAAAAGGTAGACAGAAAAGGATACGCATTGAGGTGCTCATGGGTACTCTGGTCAGCGTCTAGGCATTCAATTTGCAGAGCGGAGATACGATCCTCAAGTTCGTGCCACATATCCAATTGGTGCATCACCTGAAACACAAGAAAAATGCTTCATCCAACCGGTAGAGGATAAAACCTAAGTGGATGAGTGTAAATCAGATATTGCTCCGTGGTGACGATGAGTGCCACCTCTAGCATATGGTGGGCAGGTTTTGAAAAGATAACCGGTGTATTCAGTCTGGTTGGAGTCGCTGAACAATAGATACACGCAGTGGAAAACGGAGGAGTTGAACAGAGCAAAAGTAGTGTAGAAAATAGTTCGTATAAACAAAGCTCGCATGGTGTAGAGTTGCCTGAACGGTTTTTTGCAGCCTTATACTGAATACTGTATTGTGGGAGTAAGCAAAAATTTGGATCCGTACAACTCCGTCGAAATATGATCAAAAACGTTAAAAAGAGCAAGATATGACTTGTTAATACGCTGATAGTTTTTCACGTTCGCAGGTTATATCGTTAAAAATTCGTTTAACTCACAGTAGATTAGGTCTCAAAAATGCGAGGTGCCTGTGGGTAATCGTTCTCGAAATGTAACATTTGAAAAATGCACATCCAATGATCGTTTGAACTGCTGCACTGAGTTTTCTTCCATTATATGTTCCGGCAAACCATTCCAGACATTTACGACTCGCCATTCCAAGCAGAGGAGATGGGGAACTCGCTCCATATCTGGAACCACAAGCTTGTGTTGGTGTCCACGTGCGCTGCAACGTGCTTGCAAGTGTAGCAGTGGCCTAAGCATGGGGAAGACGCCTACATGTCGAATCTGGCAGGTCATGATGAGGTCGACACGTAACCCACGGTATGCCAGAGTGAACAGTCCCAATTTCTCACACCTGCCCTCGTACGGTAGGCCTCGAAAACTGGGGATGAGCCTAGTAGCATCGTGTTGAGCCCGTTCAATATTCTGCGCCTCGCCGCGAGTGGTCGGGCAATAGGCGGGCGAAACGTATTCTAGCATTGGTCTGATGATGGAGAATAGGCGTGGAAACCACTTCAGACCAGATACAGAAACTAGGTTTGAGTGTCCAGAGCATACGCAGTCCGTTACGATATAGCCTGTTCGTGTTGCCACCGGGCTTCAAGTCGCAACGTGAGAGTAGTCCTAGGTCCTTCACAAGTGTGGGGTGCAGCAGTTGGCCGTCGAAAGTGTAAATTCGGTCGTCACTACCTTTCCCCAGGCTCATGAATACCGACTTGGATGAGTCGACCGTATGTACATGCAGCTCTTGTTCGCCTAATTTATATGGTCGTTACTGGATGAGATTCAACATCGTCACAACTGAAATGTAACTTTAACACAACCGTTCTAGCTCGGGGGCTCGTGGATGAACAACTTTAAGTAAACGGTAAGCGCAACGTAGAAGTATGCACAAAGATGGAAGTACACAAGGCTCCTCTAAATATTGACACGTCAAGATCGACGGTTTCGTCTCCGTGTAGACTCACGGAGCTCAGTAACATAGTAATCAAGGTGTCAACCGCTAATCACTAGTCTCCGAGTTCCACTCCAGCTGCTATTTCCACCTAATGAGTCCAAACGAGGACGAAAGCATCGGTAGTGGGAGGAAAAGTGTCGAATCACTTTCATTTCGGATAGTCTGTAAGTTGGAGATGACCGAAAACTCAATAGAGACTGAGTGTCAATATCAAACCAGACAGTGGGTACTCCAAATTCAAAGCTGCTGAAAATCTCGCAACCAAACTAGTTAGTACCGAAGTCACCACCACGTCCCGGGACCAGATTCATTTGGGAAAGCGCCGTCTGAAGACACAATGCCGAGAAAAGGAACCGAGTCAGAGGAGACTATCACAAGTGTTGGAAGCAGGGCACGTAATGGCCGGTGGCTGGAAGCATAAGGAGCCTGCCTAGTAATATGAAGATCACCGATTCCAATCTGCGTAGCTACGGGCGACCTCGTAGCACAAAACAGCTCACGTGCGACCTGTGATGGTTACGTGGTAGCGAAGCGTTGGTGCGATGTGCCGGTGTACTGCTGATGCCTTCTAGTAGTAGGGTATACGAATTCACATTGTCAGCCAAGCAAAGGAAACGGAAAGAAGAGGGAGAAAGTGAACACATTTAAAAAAGACCGGAAAGAGCACTGCTCTCGGATGGATAACCTCTGATTTTTTATTGGCCATCCTTATGCGCACGAATGAGTACCATTTTATTAATCACCAACAAATTCCGTAGTATGAAAGGCACAGTCAATCGGTGTGACCCAGTTCCACGCTATACTGACAATTGCGGACCACCTCAGCGGTGAAGCATCGCATCATGATGTAGCTTATAAATAACGTGATCCATAGAAGATTCGCGTTTTTCCGCATCAAAATTCTATGCCGATATCTTATGGTTCAGCCGGTCTCCGGTGCAGACTCGAAGAGCAGTGGGCATGCGAATGTAATGCGGTGCAGATGGTCAAGGTGAGCAAAACAGTACCTAGTCAACCCTAACATGAAATGGTTGCATTGATACTTGCGACTACTAGGTGGTATAGTTGATCAACCGGGTGGTATGCATGTGCAGATAAAATCATTTAAAGCAAGGAAGAATAGCAGGCAGACGGAAGAGATGCAGAGGCGTATTTGATACAGACGCGGCTTCATTGTGCGGCTCACAATGGTCAAGAACCAAACAGTACGAATAAGAAGTAAATGCTCTGTTCATTAGTCAGGTGCCGTTGAGCGGGATAATTATGTAACTTGACGGTTTTCCAACGAAATTCTGTAGAAATAACTCCCCCAAGCTTAGTTCAAACGCGTTCTTATTTGCCAAGAAAGTAGGCATGTGATACATCGGTGACAGAGGAATGAATAGATGACGAGGCAGGAGTATCAACGAATGGAACATTCAGGGAGACCAGGAATCACTTCGACTAGTGTCGATTCGCGTGGTAAAATTAGCACATCGTTAGCAATGCAGTCCTCGGTTCAGATAAACATAGTTGTGAGTGCATGGATGCATGGCTAAAGCCAAACCCGGAAACGTTCATACAAGCATTTGAAAAAGATTCCTAGACGGTTTACAAGATTCCAGCAAAATTGATGCGCTTGTTCACATAAAAGGCACCTTGTTAGAAAGGATTGAGCTACCAAAAGTGTACAGTCGATTATGTAAATTTTAATAGATAATGTGAACCGGATTCGATCATATGCTCAAAATGACTGAAGACCAACTCCTTGGAAGCGCAAAAAAACCGACGCGTTTATGGGACAAAGATGGAACACTAAGATTCAAGTAGAATTCAGCGGTTTTTCTATAAGTACACGCGTAGCTGAACGCCGACGCGATATCATGTAAACAGGCCCTGAGTGTACATAGAGAAGAGCCAAAAAAATTCAGCCATTAGACTTCCAGTTTCCACTCAACAGACGTCAACAATGGTTGAAATTTTTATACCGCGCGTACAGATACCCATATAAGGCAATAATGTCTCGCACAAGGCATCAATCATCCTCCCACTCGTAACAAAATCCTGGCTGCAAACAGGTACAAAACATGCGCGGAACTCCCAAGCAGTAAGATGCGGATGAATTAAACTTAACGAGAAGCTTTCAAAACGACCGCTGAGGTATGCGCAACCGAGTTGCCGATTCGAACTGCTTTGGAGAAAGTGATTATGTGACGTGGTCTAGCTGACTATAAGCATCAATATCATAATGTCCACGCTTTGTATAAATGCGACTGAGACCCAAAGTTCAGGGTAGAGCAATGTCACAGCATCATATGCTGGATCTGAACAAGCCGTTGTGGTGAGAAAACTGGAAGTCTCAAAAGAAGTCGTCGAACAGAAAATTCATTGTATTTTCACATATGATGCTCAGATACTCATGTCTTGAGACGGCACGTGTTATCCTTCACGCGCGTGTTTTTGGGTCAAATCATGATGGGGCCTTGCTAAGTATTGATGAAACTCATCTGCGGCTGCTGATGCTAACACGTGCTGATAGTTTGCAGGGACATACTTTTGCTAAACCGTCGCCCTTTCATATCAGCGGATTCGTAACCCCTTTACACTAGGTGCCTGTTAGGAGTAGCCTGTTATGTCACTAAACTCTTCCCCGTCCTACGATATCGAGATGACGTCTATGTTACAGCAGCAGCTCAAGCGGATACTTCTTTGCCAAAAAATCATAATGGCCTCCCCAGGAACGAATAGGGGAAAACGGAGACCTTGTGAAAAATAAGCATTCAGGATTAACGCGTACATTTTTGTGAACAAAGAACGGCAACAAACAGCTGACCGGTAGGTGAAGGAGAGGTAACCGCATAGGGACAGCTTCCTAGGAAGTGTTATCGATTAACCAATCTAGAGGACGCCATCAACAAGGGTAGCGAGCATTGTCAGTGCTATTGAAAAAAAACTATTTGTCCCTGGTTGTAAATGCCTGACTGGCACTCGTGAAAGCCATATTCGTGAACAGCAAGCCGGGTTTCATCCAGGTCGTGGCTGCATTGACCACATCTTCCCTTTGCGTCAGTTGTTGGAGCACCGTCACATATATTAGCGACCCACCGTTGTCGTGTTCCTCGATATCAAAGGTGCATTCGATTCCTTGGATAGACGTGCACTTTGGGACTGTCTACTCAGGAGAGGTGTACCTCAGAAATATGTAAATATTATCCGATCACTATACGCGTCTAGCTCAGTCAGAGTGAGGGCTAACGGCAAGCTGTCATCGCCTTTTAATATCCCCAGCGGCGTGAGACAAGGATACCTGCTGTCACCTTTCCACTTCAACGTCGCCATTGACGAAGTCACGGAAATCGCGTTCACAGGACACGACTTAGAAGGTGTGGATCTGTTCCCAGGTGAACGACTTCTTGATTTGGAGTATGCTGACAATATTACCCTAATCTGTGACAGCTCACAAACGTGCCAAGCGGCACTGGACAGATTAGCATTGGCTATCAGCCGCTTCCGGCTTTGCTTTGCACCATCGAAGTGCAAAGCGTTCCTCCAAGATTGGCCTGGACCGCCTCCTTCGCTGACCCTTGGTGGGGATCAGCTAGAAGTCGTACAAAAATTCAACTACCTGGAAAGTTGTATCAGCGCCTGTGGGATTGAAGATAAGATCACGAACCGTATAGCAAAAGCTCGAGGCGCTTTTGCTAACCTTCGCTACTTATGGCGCCGGCACGACATCACTCTCGCAGCGGTACGTTCGACCCTACTGCACGGTTGTGAAACCTGGCCCCTTAGATCAGCAGACATAAAGAGGCTAGTTACGTTCGACCACCGGTGCCTTCGTAATTTAGCTCACATCTGGTGGGAACACTACGTGAGCAACGAGCATGTTCGACGTCTTGTTTACGGCACAGGAAAAGGAAATGAACCGCTCAGCACCGGTATTTCACGCACCAGGCTCCAATAACTCGGCCAGGTGTCACGCATGCCAACCCACCGACTCCCGCGATGTGCGTTGTTTGTGCGCCGTGGGTGTGGATGGAAGAAGAGGAGAGGTGGCCAAGCGACGACTTAGTCCAGAGGAATGAAGGCCCTCACTTCGAAGTTGGCCTCGGTTGGAGCATCTCGGCTCCCTGGTTGGGGTTCGAAAGACGATGAACACGTTTGCATGGATACACTTGCTGATATCGCTATGAGCCGACCTCAATGGCGTTCTTGCTGTGAGTTTCTTCGTCCCACCCATCCCACTTACCATCACCCTCCAACACGATCTAATTATTTAGCCTTGTATAGTTTTTCATAGTAATTTTTTGTTGCATAGTAGGCGGTTGGTAGCTTACTGGAACGATGCCCATCCGTTACCGGTAGCTCAGCTGGCTTGCACCTGTTGCGTTTTATACACCTTTTTCTTTTAGGTATTGCGGCACAGTAGCTGAGGTGCTTCCCACCTCTAGCTAACGTGTATAGTGTGTGTGTGTGTGTGTGACCGTGATGTGAACAGTTTCAAATGGATCCCACAAGCTTGTTCCTGAGCAAACGATGCACATAATGAGTTTCTTACTGTTCCCGTCCCTCCCCCATCCCTTTTAGCCTCCCCCTCCAACCACGAGCTCATTTCGTAGGGTAATATAATTTTACAGAATAATTTTTCTTGTTGCCTATTAGCCAGCTGGGAGCTTTCCGGAACGATGCCCAGCCGTTGCTGGTAGCTCAGCTGGCATGCAACTGTTGTATTTATTTTCTTTTTTATGTATTGCGGCACAGTAGGTGAGGTACTTTACACCTCTAGCCAACGTGTATATTGATGATGATGTGAATGCCGGCTTAGCTAAGCTCCTCTGTTTATTAGGTAGGTGGAGAAAGTTCGATTGAGGACTCAATGCCGTAAAACACTCGGGGTTGACACACGTCAATCTTTCGATACAGATGACGCTATATAATAAAACGACTTGTGATGTCATTTTTCCTTCTGCAATGCGCACAGAAACGGTGCTCCTCGTTTATCTTCCTGATAAGCTCGTTGGAAGAATCGAATCTGCTACGCGCATTTTCAGAAAGGTCTAGTCAGCATTTCACCAAGTTGACAGGTGGGTAGATGAAATGGAAACCATCGATTCCACATGGTTTTAGTCTCGATTCAGCAGAACACATGTTCAGCATAGTCGTGAAATCTCAACAAACTGTTCTATCTCAAAAAAAGGAATCAGTTATTTGCTTACGAGCAACAGAAGGGCTGAGCTTACCGGAGACAAAGTATCGTGCAGTTTAAATCGACAATTCCCACACAATCCAATCCGGTGAACGGATTCCATTTCCGGGCGACCGCTTTGTTGGATGACAAGGAGTCGGTTGCTTTGCGTCAGTGTATAGAAACGAAGACACGTATTGAATGCATTCCGCCGACCGTATACAATATGAACGGATGATGTGGCCACCAACAGCCCTGATTGTATTCGGACACAACTGTAGTTGTGTGCTAGTAGGCGAGACGCGGCTGCGCTTCATCAATCCGATTACCTTCCAGTTCGACTACTCCTAAGTCAACCGGATCAAGAACGAAAGCAACCAAAAAACAAGGCTGAGATAACGCAAGTTTGTCACGTGGCGTCCAGGTATTTCGAGCGCAGTTCCTCCCCAGGACCCTGGTCTGCGAGAGAACAAGCATTTACCATGTGGCATCGGTGAAATAAAGTGCAATGCGTCAAACAGCCGCGAACCGACCGACCCGTGTAATCCATAGTCCTCAGATCTCTTCATATGGTAGAAACGGCAGACTAACCGGATAAATCCTAGGTAAAATGAGCTGGCTCCTGCAAAACTGGATTCCAATCAACATGCGTTGCATGACGGCTGCAGAACAGCTTTATCAGTAGACATGAAACGTGGATATCTGACGCAATTCCGACAATGCGCGAGGTAGTATATCTCGGTGTACCGATGTGCGCCAACCTGGGAGGGCAATACTTATTCAACCCACGTCAACTACTCAAGCACAAATGTAGAGCACAACGAGCAACCAGTAAGGATAAGTCAACTATGTGAACCTCAAAGGTTTATATACACGGATTTGCCTTTCACCATATTCCTTTACCAAATCGTTAACCCTTGACGGCCAAATGCTACAGCCCACACTTTCTGTGAAGGACCTAGGCATACTCTCAGGTTACGATTTGAAGTTAATGGATAACACGAACAGGCTATACCGAAATCGACTGCGCCTGCTCGGGGCAAGCAAGCGCAGATTTCACATCTAGTCTGAAGGGAGCGTCAATTGTCACTTATCCTCCATAACCAGACCAATGCTAGAGTACGGTTCGCCCGCCTATCGCCCGACCACTCGAGGTAAGGCGCGGAAAATTGAACGGGTCCAACACGTCGCTATTAGGCTCATCCTCAGTTTGCGGGGCTTACCGTACGAAGATAGATGCGAGAGGCTGGAATTGTAAATCCTGGCCTGGAAAAATGAGCAATGTTGCCAGTCATAAATAGATTTTTCAACGTTTTTAATCATATTTCCACGGAGTCGTATAGACTCAAATTTCCACTTGCTCTCACAATATAGTACACAGTACTTAGTATTCACACAATGATGATGCCACTTCAGTTGGTGACGAAACGTTTGGAGCCAAATTTCATATCTCAGCGGAAACGACAACTGAATACGCAACCGGAATTGCCAGTAGTTCGCCTAATTTCGGTGCACCGCAAGTGGCAAGCCCGTCCACAGCTCGAGTCGGACCTTTACGAACTGCTGCCCCGTCGATTCGTGAGAGTCGCTAAAGTCCGAGACGAGAACGTCAACCGAAGTGGGTCGCTCGGAGTCAAAAGTCATTTCGCCCTGCTCTTGAGGGACGATTTCGAGGACTTAAAGCGCCAGACATCGCTCTCTTTAGATAGCTCTAACCAGGGGATTTCATCATCAGAGTGACAATGACTAGAAATCGTCAAAATCAGGGAATTCATCGGAAAACCATGTCCCGTATACGCGCACGATTCGCCAACAGATGGCTTTGCAATAGCGCAGGCCCACTGAAATGCAGTCTCTCTCAAAGGTGACAAAGTGTACTGGTCAACGTTTCACGTCAGCCGTCTGCATTATCCGACTTACTATTTCCATGACATCGACCAGACACATGCCTGTTCAAAGTAACTCATCTGTTCCCGCAAATTCACCGATGAAACCAAATATTGCGGCATACTGGCGACCAATTGGAGCAGCCTTCGTGATCCCTACACATTAAGCTCTAATGAAAGCTGAATCTTCCAGTCAGAGACTGAATAAGTAACACAGACAACTATCTGACCATATGCAGCAAGTTATGTGTTGACGGTATTTTCATTCAAAGAAGACAGTGGTCGCCCTTCTCAGCAAACCACCAGAAAGTGGCCTTGTCTTTACAACATACGATAGGTTCGAATTGAACTACCCACCTAGAGTAGACGCACATACTACGTCACGTCAGACGGGATGTATTTGTGCTACTAGCTAACGTATCCGTAAACGACGCTATCCCTATGCGTCACAGACTTAAAGCTCCGCCCAAACTCTGTAGAGAAACGTGGAAGTAAAAAAACGATCTGATCGCCCGTGCCCCTATATCGAATTACGTTGGATCGGAAAATGCATCGCGATGCTAGTGGCCAGATGAGATGTGCTTGGTGCTCAGTTTTAGAGAAGAAATAGCAAGATCTTCGTCTTCACTCGCGTAGTGCGATGTCGAACAATAAGCAATAGTCAAGTGTTGGAAGTGTACTATGCGCAGCAGGATATTGCATGGGCCCTTGAAATTCCCTTGAAGCATCTGATAACGATTTATGGAGGGAATTGAGAAGTTGTGATGCATGCAAACACCTATCCAGTACGGTTCACACCTCCAATGCCCTTCTCTGCAGATGAGCGTCAAGTAGAGGAAATGACCAGGTAATGATCTGCCATAGGTGATTAAGCTGTCTTGTGACATCTGGGCGGCGAAAAAGTGTACAGTTGCGGAATTAGTTAGGGGTGCATCAAACAGGCGTCAATGCAACATGCATTCCGTATTGCGCTCTTGACCTTGAAGAAGCACGATTTCATAACGCATGTAGGACAACCTACCGGAGCAATACATTCCCCCGTTTATCCCTGAAATCACGTGGTGTTATGACTTACGAAGTGGTGTTTACATGCATTTTAGTAAGTTGTAAAGTCAGCGTGATATGGTAAACAATTTTCGATGGAACAGTTAAGCGAATGCAGTAGAGGGGATGACGGAAATTGAGTGCAGAGGGGCATGAGATTCATTGCTCGGATCATAGGAGGCTAGTCAGTAGAGAGTGTATACACGCAACATACCCATGTAGGAACCGGTGCCAACTCGGGGGACTCCGAATTGCTCTCCTGGGTGTTGAAGGCGAGAAAGGAGGGCCAGCAAGCAGTTTGTGTGAAGAACATACTGGTGGTGCATAATTCAGCCAAACACAGCAGAAAATCGCTCCGAATTCCGGCATACTCTGCTTGAAACCAACGAACACTGGGGCCACCAATGCACTGAGAAGAAAGACATTTGTTTGTCAATTTATCTCAGGTGTAATTTTATCATGAAGAGTACCATTAAGCTTATGAAAAAAATATTTAAAGCATGAGCAAGGTATTGGACAAAAGAGAAATAATAAATTCGTGCACCCTAACAAATAAAAGCATAGCGCTACGCGAGCAGAAAACAGGAGCAAAATGTATTTCCAGCACCAAGATAATCTCTAAGTGCAGCCTTCGTTATTTGGTACCGAAATGGATCAAAACCGCATCGTCGTGCACATACGCAGGCAAAAGGTGTATACGAGGAAACCTGCTCGTCAGAGAACTAGAGAACTAATAAAATGAAAGGGAGCCGAAAATAGGAATACCAAATTTAGTGAACGAAGCAACGTGGAACGAACAAGGTAACTCTATTACAAACACTAGAAACGAACACCTAAACAATGAGCAACATATTTGGACACATATGGGACAGAACAACGCTGAAAACTTCGGATACGGTCCCAGTGATAGGAACGGCAAACGTTGACTTCAAAGTCAATCGAGGCCACAATTGCGATTGTGTATCGCAATCCAAGAAACACGGCGGGCGCTCCAAAACCCGACAACAAACTCCCAGCACTTCTTGCGGAGCACAATGCCCTAGTGATCATGACGTTAGTCGCCAACCACTGTGTGGCGAGTTCCACTCCCACCTCAGGCTGTTTATACCTTATAGGAATTTAAACAAGGTCGGAACGTGACGTGGAGTGCAGTGATGAGATGGCAACATCGAAACCCTTCCGAAAAAGTACTCCGGAAATGGAAGATGAGAAACGCATATCGGGAAGTGCACTATTAACGCTATCGTACTGAGACATCACCACCATACAACCTAAATCACTGCTAATGAGGATGAAGAGAAGAGAGCAGCGGCACAGCGTAAAAACAAAGGTGAATATTCAAGACCAGAGCGCTTAGAGCATGACGCAAATACGGCCATGAATGGTTTGCCATAGCGCGAAAAGATGGTGGCAGCCGGGAAACAACTTCATTGCGCCTCTCGCTGTCTCGTTTTGTAAACAGACATCACGTAAATAACTCAGTATCATACATGTGACAAACGAGCAATTCGATCGCGACATGTCTGTAAACACGCTACCACTATCAGTTGCGTCGTATCATTGCACTGTGTGGATCCAAGCTTAGAGTGGGTCACGTGAACGCCAGTTCAATATGTAGAGGACAAAAGACAGTCAGTTCAGTAGACAGTGACCTAACATGCAGTTAACAGAGGTGAATAATCGATTCATTCTCAGACATACCGACTTGTCCGCTGGGAAGAGTAGTTCAGCAGGCCAATTGTCACTGCATTGTTTGTCGAAGTGCTTGAAACGGCGTGGGACATGAACTTGTCCCGTCGAAACGAAACAAGGCTACCAGACCCGATAGGGTTCCCCCAGATTTTCTGGATGATGAAACGGACCCAGTAGCAACTGGTATATCTGCTCTATTCAGCACTCAACCATCGTTCAAATCTCTAAAAAAAAGTCACAAGCCTGTGCATGAAAATCACAAACGCCTTAAGCCAATACCCATTCCCGTAAAACTTCTAACATGCATCAATATGCGATGACCCAGTGTTCCGCGTGAGGTCAGAGGTTGCATAGATCCCATAGTTGCTTTCCCTCAAGTGTTTGAGCAAAATCACGCGTACAGAGGAGTCATCGTAGTGATTTTACTTGGCTTGTAAACCTAGTTGCTTACGTCAGTTGCGGTACTGTCGATAGCTAAATGGCGTGGTAGGAAAATTGCTGTATATTATAATGCCTCTACACTGCAAATCATGCGGGCATGTAGAGTGGCCTAGGTGAAACTTTCTCCTGAGTTCCGCACCATGAGTGTTGGTCTATATCTCCTTTATTCTTCAACTTTGTGATCATAATCATTAGGAATGACTCCGCTCTCTCAGCCTCTTTCGTAGTGAAAATCCTGCCATGTGAATAGCTGACAAACCATAAGTAGGTGGACGACATAGTTCTCCTAGGTCGGAAACAGTGGCTATGCAAGCACAAGTGAATAGGCTGAAGCATACATGTTCCGTCATGTGATTTTGCCTTCAAAACCCAGAGCATTGTCGCGGGACTGGACTAATAGGCCACCGGATTCAGCTATCAGATAACAGCCACTGGAAATAGTTGGTCGGTTTATTTGCATCCGTAGTCGTGTTACTTTTGGTGATCACATTGCCGAAGAGGTTACCTCGAGAGTCAATAAGTCCGTGTTGGTTTATTAGGGGCTCAAGCATCTATAAAGGCGGAATATCATCCCGCAAATGAAACGTATGGCGGAGACTTTCGGTGTATAACGCTGATGCTACTCTATGGATCAGAGACCTAGGCATTTTAAGTTGAGGATAGCAAGTGTTTGGTGATTGTTGATTACTGGTGCCTGTGAAGTATCGTTTATCTCCGGGAGGTGCATTGTGTGACCAATACTGAAGTCTAACAGTTTGTGCTCAAAAGAAAACTTAATGCCGCACTGAATTGTGCACTAAAACTGCATCGCGTACGTTTGCCTGGTTTTGGGCTCTAGATGCTCGTTAATCGGGTTTTTCGAAGTGCATTGTGTGGAGTTGTTGCACCTAATTAGGTGACACCACGAGGTGGTCATCCGATGACCTGGTATAAAAGTATGCAGAGAATAATCTATAGGCTTGATCCAGCTGCAATATTCTGTCTTTGTGGACAGGGGCCTGGTAAATGGCCACCTCAGCAGATGCAGACATTTTCTGACACAGAATAGTTCGGAAACCAGTGGCGCTCCTGCATCCGTTTTTTGTTGTTGCATCTAGCTGTTAGTATTCCACCCCGATGAATTGTACTCACTTTGTTCCCAATCACATTGTTCTATTAGCTGTTTGCGCTCTACCTGATTTCCTTAAGTCCGCTAAGTATTGTTATACGGACGACACGGGTCACGGAGACTGAAGGCACTCGGAGCATTGTCGTTTCACTGAGCTTAATAACCGAGTAAACCGTTGCCACCTTCAAAGATCGCGCCATTTCAGATTAGGTAAACAGAACAAAAGCGGGCCCCGGTAGGCGATTATGGAGTACATGTAATCTATTGGAAAGTTAGCTCCCTAGAGTCAATTTGTTGGAGATTTTTTATCAGGAACAAAACTCTGCGGGTTTCTTTTCATCGGTGTCGTTGTTTTCTTATCATATCGCTTTCTTTTGGTCAGTTCTTCGTCGACTACTCAGTTTATCGATAGTTTTTCGGAACACCTGCAGTTTGAATAGTACTAAGTAATTCTTCCTCCGGCTGAGCGGCCATCAGACGTTGTTTTTTGGCTGCAGTACACTTCTTGGCTGGGAAATCTGGTCTTTGGTTGTGGATGTTTAGGGCTGCAATGAAGCGAATGATCCGAGGCGATTTCGATAAGTAACAGTAACAGGCGGGATAGCAACACATCTCATCAAGTCTTATTGATTGACCTAAAAAACGAACATGACTGTCATGACCTGGTGTTTACCTACGCAACTTGTCATTGCGGATGCAATGGTGTAAGTCGACACAAGTGATGCAGCGTGGGCAATGACGATCAAAGATCCAAAGGACACTGATATCTTCAGTTCGGAAGAGTTAAGCTCTACTACCTCAGAGAAGAGCGACTCCCACTGTAGTCCTGTAGACACGGTCCGTGGAACTAAGAGAAATCCAACTACTGTGTAGTAGAAATTGCAGATTCGTAAGGACAGTTCAAGCCTCCGCAATATGTGAAACACTAATCACACCACAATCATTGTTAATGAAGCTGCCGATATGGTTGAGTTGATCAACTATCTTCAGTTCCACGCAGTCTAGCCTCAAATGGCCATGGAGTCGCTGTTGGTGTTGCAACGGCACGTGTAGTTTGGAAGACGCGAAATGTCTGTTAAACAACGGAACCACACCAGAGAACTTTTGCTGACCTAAATAAGCTAGACCGTGATTGTCAAAGCGTAAATCACCCACATAGTTTAGGTCTCCAGATGGCATCTCATCGACAGTTACATCATGCAATTCCGAAATGAAGCATCCCAGAACGCAGTCCGGGGTAAAGTTGAACAAAAGGACTACAGTAGATAATTCGGATGAGCATAATTTGCTGTCCATTAACTTTACAATAACTCGCCGAGCACACTGATGTGACCCGAAGTTTTAGTGTAAGGCAGGCAAAAATCGTTAGGCCTGCAACGTTCAACAGTCACTAACTCAGCAACGCCTCAACCTCAGAGGAAGTGGAAGACCTGAGAGTCATTCATGACTGCTCCTATCACAACGTCATGGACAAAAGTAAGGAGCTCAGGGAATATTTATCGGTAGATCTCACACGGCCATGGAAGTCGCGGTATATAAGTTATAAAATAATGAGGGAATTTTCTGGTACACCCTTTGAATTCAGGGGTGACACGAACGAGGTGATAATCGATGGAATCAACAAGTAGGGAAAAATTACCATGATAAGTTGTTTGTAAGTGTGGTGATGTTGAAGCACCTGGCGAGGAGTAACAATGTGGTTGGTGCCGGCTAATCAGATTTCCACCGAACTGACATCCAAGAAGGTTCAGTGGGCCGCTAAAGAACGATGATGCGTGTGAGCAAGTGGATGCGATGGGGAACGGAGTGATACCAGAAAGATTTTCGAAAGATGTCAGCTGGCCATTTTTAAAGATAGGAGCGAGGTTAACAATCGTCAAACAGTTTAAGGTCCCTCTTTGCGCCAAACAGTGTGGGGTAGAGCGACTAGACCAATCACTAACAAATACCGTGGGACACGATATATCTCAGTCGCGTCGCCTTTCGGAGATAGAACCCCGAGATACTTGATGAGACGCAACCAGTGGTGGAAGTAAAGGCAGATGGCGCCAGTAATAATAACAAAATAGATGAACTGAGCGAAAAATAGTGAGACAAGAATGAGAACCGAGGAAATATGAACGAATAGAGCTGTGGTTAACAGCATTAAAGAAGTGAACCAAATAAAAAGAATACGCTAAGTAAAGTGTGGTATGAGAACGATGCAAATGGTTCGTTGCTACTGAGCTCATGGGACAAAAAATTCACAGGGTAACATAAGCTCAGATCTAGGTAGAATGTGTGTATTGCATGGTAGTCCGTAACGAATTTAGTGAACCCGGAGAGTATACATGGCAGATGAGATCAAAGCCAGAGTAATGGAGCAGCTAAGCTGAAGAAACAGACAAAGCTGGAGAATTTACACATGGTTTAAGGAAATAGCGTGCACAGGATGAACGCTGCACATGCCAGCAGCCATGCGTGCATGTGACACAGTTTTGTGATTCAATGAGTGTCAGAATCGTGGCTCGGTTTAAGCCACCGAATAAAGCAGAGGCGGACAAGTGACGAATTCGTGGAGAAATGATCGAGAAAAACCAACTTACGTAAAACATTGTTCGTGCCTTGCTTATGGTATCGATCGCCCGATGGAGCTCTGAAATAAGCTCGTCAATCCATGTGTGTGCCTGGAAATTGTTTTGTGAAGCCCCACTGTTCGGCTCAGTGAGGCAGACTCGGGTAGGATCAGACTGCAGACAACGCGCTGACGTGACAAGCTGCGCTTCAGCACGACTGAATTCAGCCAAACCACGAATCCACCAATTGGTACGTTCAGAAAGTGTCTAAGTAGTAAAGGTGAATGAATGAAACTGAAGCGTGATGACTGGAAATAGAAGACACAACAAGTATTGAGGTCGAAAGAAAGAAATGGTCAGTTGATACCGCTTGACGTGCACCGTAGCACCAATATGCAGGACAGGGGCCACTGACGATGACTCTATAGGAAAGAGTAGGCAGGTCGTGCAACGATGAGTTATCCGCAAGATCACTAAGCATGTTGATTTCGTAGAGAAACGATTCGATTAGCGAATCAGAACGAGCGGTCTGACATCAGTTCATATAACGGGAGAGAAGTAGTAGGGAAATGAGTGGGAATCATAGTGTGCAGTATGTAAGAGTTAACTATTAAGAAGTGGAGAGGAAAAGTTGAACAAAAGGTTAAACAATGAAAAGATGTACGCAAGAGATCAACACCAACATCTATCATATGGAAAAAAGGGACATACGGTGTCAAGCACGGTAGGCAAAACTGTAGATTGGGTCATATAATTCCTTGGGACTCAGTTAGCCTTAAAGCGCCTGTTTCAGTCAGCCCACGCTCGAGCAATCAGCTTCAAGCACGAGAGCCATAGTGTTTGTCCGTGAAAATAAACACTCGCACGATCACGTAGAAAACCCAGTCATTAGGGTAAGGCTTATTGCCGTCCATCGCAAGTTTCACAAAGCGGCTTGGCACTTTGGTTCCAAGCGGTCGGAACAGTAACCTTGAGTGGTAGACGGCAGTTGATTCCGCGAAGAATGTGTCGCTAGTCTGATACGGTCGTAATCTGTTTAGCACTATGAAAAGTTGTTCTTTGAATCCATGCACTATTTGATGAGTACATTGTGAAGATGACGCAAGGTGCGTAGCGACTATTGTCGAAGGCAGGTGCATTAACTTCAGTTTTGGGATGAAACACGGCTGGGTATGAGCAACAAACCATGAAGTACCATAACACGCCACGGGAATAAAGGGAATATTTGCACAGAAACGGAAAAAACAGTATCCTCACATTCGGAATCAAACGATCGTATAGTTTTGCCGCCAATGCATGCTGTCCATAGCGACTCGCTTGACGCGCCAACTGATAAGCCAACCACGTTGGAAGCATGCACATTGGAGAAATGGTGGTCGGGGAAGTAATATCGTCAGGTCCTTTTCGTCGAGCAGATGAAACAGCAACTGATAACAATAAGGACTTTTCCTCTTCTAACGTGAGGAAAGTACCCTCAGTCAGTTGGAAAAGCAGTCCGCACACAGGGAGAATCGAGTGACCATCCTCTTCCAAGTTGGCCAGACCATGCTTATGGGAGGCGAACAAGGTGGAACGACCGTACCCTTTGCCCATTAACTCAGTCGAAGTAATGGCAGGTAAGTGGGCTTTCAATGTGCTCAAAAACTGGCACAAAAGACTCACGCGTGGTCCACCACCTGCAGGGGGAAGAACAAAACAAAAAGTATATTTACCTGAATGAATGTCAACAAAATTGCAATGGGAATACACGACAGTTCTGAAAAGCGCAAGTGAACAGATATAAATTGAAAACCAGGGTTAGATCGACTACAGTTGCGCTACACGTACTGTTATGCTCACTTAAGGACTTCAGTAATGTAACCAAGGGTGCAACAATATACCACAATATACCAAAACTACAACAGCCACTATTACAAAACAACAATAACTACAACTACTAAAATATGTCACAAAGTTGGGTATAAAAGAATACATCATTATCAACACCATCAATAACTGCAGCAGAACATCAATGTGTTTCTCTGTTGTCACACCACCGTAAATAAAAAAAGAGCGACCCGAGTAAGAAGGACAAAGAGAAAAGTTAAAAACCAACCATATAGACTAATCACCAATGCGCCCCACTGAATCGGCACAAACAGATACCCAATGCACGTTGAAGCGGTATCAGCAAGAAAACTTTACTGTCGCGTATCATGACCATCTACGGTACAAGGATAATTATGCGACATATGAAATCCAAACAGGCAGTTCAATTAGGGGGCATCCACAGACCAATGGTTTCTACTGATAACTACACCCTGAGCTGTTTTATGCTGAGAACAGGATGAGACAAGTTCTTCCCGGTATAGAAGACTAGAAGAACCAAATATTAAACCACGTCACTGGCGTGATTTCCTAGTACCAGGACAATAGTCTGTGATGGGCATAATGATGTGTAGGTAGATGAGAATAGCTCCTCTGATACTCTGTAGGATGGCATGTTTGTAACTAGTTCCAATCGAGACTGTGTGTCGAACGTCAGCTAGTTGTAAAAAGCACGGTTTCCACACTTAGAGGAGGACCTTAACAGATGACCACGCAATGAGTGATGATGTCCTATCCTTCACTTCCAACCGCTGAGGAACGCGTGCACCGGCTCCGATGTTATCTTAGTTCTATGCTTGTTCTTAAACTTGACTGGGAAGTGCACTAAATTATTCCACTAAATTCCACCGGAGAGTACGCTAAGAGCAGTCGCCTGGTAGGTCCACCGAGATATCATAATCATCAACAGCAGTACATCAGCCATTTGAACTGATGCTTTGCTGCCAAACAACCATGAGGACCTATGAAATAAAGAATAAGAAGAGGGAGAGAAAGGGGACTTACCTGAAAACCTTAATACCTTAAGCAAACATTCAGGGTCAAGGCGCCTACACCTTGTGTAGACAACATACCGTCACAAACAGCTGGCTATCGTGCAAACATAACGCGGCATCGGTGAGACAGCTTCCTTGCGGCTTTCACTGCCACGCGTCATAATCAGCCATTACCCCGCAGATAACTCAGCACCAAACACACTTTAAACAGGCAATCCGATTAGGAGACGGCAGCAGGCGCCACTGGTGTCGATTGCGAGCCATGTCCTGTAAAGTCTCGAGCCAAGCACAAGGCGAGTCACGCAGACTCCAGTCCGGAAGGCTAGACGGAACAACGGCACCCAGTTTGGTCGTCAGTGACTTCATTTCCCGCTGCCAAGTCAACTTCTGTCCACCTCGAGCCTTGCGCCATTCTACACCTGGCAGACTAAACAAGGCCATCCTAGGTAAGCGGTGACCAGGCATACGTAGCACGTGCCCGAGCCAACGCAACTTATTCAGTGCTATCTGTTGTTCTAGGGAGCTAGCATGATTATCACCACCTAGTACTCGCCTACGCACATCATCGTTGCGGACACGCTGGTGCCATCCGACACCAGCAATGCTTCGCAAACAACAATGATCAAAGACTTGAAGGCGCCTCAGATCTTCAGAACGAAGGGCCCAAATCTCACTACCATACAGCAGAACGGCCCTAACTGGGGCCTTGTATACACGGCCTTTCAGACAGAGGGAAACTATCTTCTGTCACCAAAGATGACGCAGGTTCAAGAAGGCAGCTCTGGCCTTTGCAATGCGTGAGCTCACGTCAGTTTCTATGCGTCCATCATATGGCTGATGCAGCTGCCAAGATAAATGAAATGATCAACCACTTCGAGTTCCTCGTTAGCAAGCGTCAAGTGGTCATCAAGTGGCTGGTGGACCTGCAGCAACACTTTGCACTTTGAAGGTGCAAAGTGCATACCAAATAATGGGACCACTCTAGACAGGCTATTCAGGGTTGATTGTGCCGCCCCAATATCGTCGAAAAGCAAGACGATATGTTCCGCATAGTCAGGATCAACTAACCTTAAACCAGGCAGCACTTCAACGCCTACATCGTGAGATTCCGCAAGGGAACACTCCATGATAGAATCCACGACGAAATTCAACAAAAATGGGGAAATCTGACAACCTTGAGGAACGCCACTTGTGGTCGGAAAGTTATCCGATAGGCCACCGTAGACCCTGACGCGGCCTGTAGTGTTCGAGTATAGAGCACGAAGGATGTTCACATATTTCGTGGGAACCTCTTTCCGCGAAAGTATTTCGAACAGAATCGATCGACCGACCGAATCGAACGCACACTTGAAATCGAGGAACACAACTATTGTCGGTCTGCGGTAGCCGTGGCGCTGCTCTAGCACCTGCCGCAAAGTGAATATATGGTCTATACAGCTACGCCCTGGGCGGAAACCGACCTCCTCTACCCTATTCCGAGATTCCCGTTCCGCAATGAGGCGACGAACAATAATCGAGGCCAATAATTTTGTCACAACTGGCGTTAGGCTAATACCCCTGTGGTTCGCACAGTCTGTGCGACTGCCCTTCTTGTATATTGACACTATAATCGATTCGCTCCAATTAGCCGGTACACTCTTCCTTCCAGATACATTCGAAAAGGGAAGTCAGTGCTTTCAAGAGCACCTCACCTCCATCCTTAAATAATGCAGGTGGGAGGGAATCGGGGCCAGCGACACGAAAACGATTAAGGGCTGTGATCGCGTTTCGGACTTCGGCCTCCGATGGAGGCTCTAAACTAACCGTCCATGGCTCGTCCTGCATCACCTGAGTAGGAAGAGGTCCGGGAGCAGGGGGCCAGCTGAACTGATCTTGAAAGTGTTCCGCCCAACGAGCCATACGGCGCTCCTTATTGTGTATCAGCGCACCCGCGCTGTCTCTGATTGTCTCACTGACGCCTGGTTTTCTGGGACCAGTGGTGCGGATTAGCTGGAAGAGCTTCCGGTAATTGCCTACTTCTCCCGCCTCCTCCATTTCTTGAGCCCGACTGGTCCACCAGGCTTCCTTGTCAGCACGTAGGCACTGCTTTAGTTCACGCCTAATAGCCCGTCTGGTCACATTGTGTTCAGAACCAGCCGGGAGGTGTCTTCTAGATTCCAACCGGTTCACCGACCTCTCGGATATCCAGTGACGGGTGCGGTGACGATGGATAGTGCCACAAGCAGGTGCTCCTGCGCCGTGCATGGCGGCCGAGATCCTATTCCACTGAAGCTCAGTGTCATTAGTACAAGAGAGCGAAAGTTCGGTATGCAGTGCTTCTTGATAGGCTTGCCTAACCGAGGGCTGAGACAATTTCTCAGTTGCCAATCGGAGGAGACGCTTGGTGCGCCTCCCGGTAAAGTTCATGGAGAAACGACAGCGTACCAAGGCATGATCAGAGTCGACACAGGTACTGCAGTACGTGCGGCAATCCAGGATGGAACCACGCCATCTGTAACTTATGGCTATGTGGTCAATTTGGGTCCATCGCTGGCCAGCTACAGGTGGACGCCAAGTGGCACATCGGCCCCCACTGTGTCTAAAAGCAGTGCTACTAAGAAACAACTGGTGCTCCGCACACAGTTGCAGCAGACGCTCACCGTTGTCAGTCCGTTCGGAGTTAAGCTCACAATTACCACCCAGCTGAGCTACTGAAGAGCTCAGACGCCCTACTTGTGCGTTCATATCCCCTGCAAATACTATAATATCTGAACTAGTAGCACTGCGTAGTAGCGCGTTCAGTTCGTGATAGAATGCGTCCTTGACTGCATTAGAACTGCAGTCGGTGAGAGCATAAGCAGAAATCACAAACAAACAACGTTTTTTACTACATCGTGAATCAACCTTAGCTGATGTCGTCAAGCGGGCTGCACATAAACGGCTGTTCACCGGAATCCAATCAATCAACAATGGCTCAGCCTTGGAGCTTAGGATGATACCTACACCAGCTTGACCCGTGAATGCTGCATCGGCGTCTCCGGATGCGTGCAACCAATAACGAGAGGATAAGCCGGGTGCAGTCAATTCAATAACCCCGTTAGCGTCATTGATCCTAGTTTCGGACACACAACACACATCAATACCCAGTGTGTCCAAGGTGCGTGCGAGTGCAGCCTGCTGACCTGTTTGTCTTAGAGTGCGAACGTTGAATGTCACCATGGAAAAGGGATAGCGTGGCCTTATAAGGGACTTTTGCCGATAGGCGTCCGGTAGGTGCGATGGGATGGTGGCTGCAGAAGGTTCTACTCCACTGGCACTTCGGTTGCTGTCAATTAATCTGGGAATTATAGAAGGTAGGTTAGTAATGAGGGTCGGGATGGGAGTAAGAGAAAAAGGTGGAAAAGAAAAAGTGAGGCGCCAGCAGTAACATGTTTTCGCTTATCCGCCCTGCTGTATGCAGCAGATAAGGCGACCCTTGATAATCTGCGCGACGACCGATGCAGGATGAAGTTTATGTTTGAAGAAAATGTCATGGTTGTATGTGGGCTGAGATAGTGCCAGGGTGCCCAGACCTAGACAGGAAGACGATTAGGGTCCTGATCCAAAACCTTTGGCTCAAAAGCCTGTCCGCAAGGCAGCGGGGAGGTGGCAATGATTTAGTTTTACAGAAATGGACGCCATCCCATTTCAAACCCCCAACCTGGAGGACCAGGAGACTGAGTTTGTCTGACCTCTCACCAGTGACCAACCTAGTAGGAGTAGCTCTCAAGGTGCCCGGAGGCATCACCCAGTATAGCTCAATGGGTCAATGAGGTACGCAAACCGTCGCACCACGT